CAGGGGGAGGAGGGCGTCCTGAGGGGAGGGAGCCCGGGGTGGGGGGGTGCACAGGGGAGAGTGCAGGGGGCTTCCCGGGAGGGCACGCAGGGAGAGGGCCGCAGCCTCGGTGGGGGAACACCTCGGTGGAAGGGGAGCCGGAAGCTGGCTGGGCAGGGCAGGGCGCTGGCCGCGGGTGGGAAGGAGGAGGGGCCCGCAGCTGTCTTCCCACTCCGGCCGAGGGATGAGAAGGGTCCCCGGAGAACTGAGCTCTTGCTCTCTTGTTCAGAAGATAAGTATTGTTTTTAACTTTCCAGCATCTATTGCACTGCTGTGAGCCCCGGCGACCAGCCCTGAACATAACTGAGCCCCTTTCTCATGGAGCGTCACTGCAGAGCAGGCGACAACTAGGAGTAAGAAGTGGAACCTTCTGGAGCTCTGCCTCCACCACATGACTTATACCAAGTCTCTGAGTGCTTCCTGAGCACTTCCCCAGGAGCAAGGTAGTTTCCTGCCAGCCTCTCTGCAGGTCTTAGGTGAATGCGGTAAGTTTTAAGGAAGCAGGACTTTGTCCTGGGGTGGGTGCAGTCAGGAATAGAGGAAACTCTAGGGTTGGACATCTCAGAAAATCTTATCTGAAGGAATGAGGCTAGGGCTGTAATTTGAGGCAACCCCTCAAATTAGCTGAAGATGTTTAGTCATTTTTTTTTTGTGACACAGAAATTATTCCTGTGTCCTTTATGTGTGTTCTTGCATGATTATGGATGGGTCTCATTTCTGTCTTGACCTGTCCTGATCACAGAATTGCCTTATCTCAGAAGAGGTTGTGAGCCCGACCTGACCCTTGCTCAGGGTCTACTTCCTCATCTGTGAACTAGGAATGATGAAGTGTTCTCCAAGGTTTTTGAGAAGATTTAACCTATACAGTTCTTGGAGGTCAATGCATGTTATGAAAGGAAAATGATGCTGAGGGCTGAAGAGAACATACTCAGATACATATTTTCCCTCTCCTGCTGTGCATCACTTGAGACAGAAACCCTGGAGTCTGACCTGCAGTTTTACAACAGAGACACCTGCGTACTCAGAATATAAATAAGCTTTCTTACTGGGTAAACACACCTGTTTTTTTACCCCATTCCAAAAGAACAACCCTCAGATGCAAATTACTTTATTTATTAGAAGCATATTTACATTCTCATAGTTAACTTTGCAGAGAACATTTTACAAAAATTTCATAAATTTGGAAACCATGTAAAAATAACTTCTTCATAAAGGGAAATATAAGTTAATGGACTGAAGGGAGAAACATTCGTCCCCGATGCAGAAATTTAGTACAGGGCCTGAGGAATACTGTGTGCACGTCTGGGAATGAGCATTGCATGTAGGCTTGTCGGTGAGTCTGAGGACCAGGCCGGACCCCATCTGTAAAAGCACAGCACAGCTAGGAGGGCTTAGTTGGTACTGAGCAATGAGGCAGCAACGTCATAAAGGAGCTGGGCATTGGGAGCCACAAGCCGCATGAGGAACAGTAGCAGAACTTCCCTGAACCACAAAATTGGCATCTCACTTGTACTTTTGTCACACTCCTGGCTGCAGGGACAATGTACAAACCTTGGTCACCCACCCACATGGGTTCCCCCGGGGCCTGTGTCCCATCCAGCGAGCCAAACTTTAGAAAACCACTGATTGCCGTGTCCCAAGAACCTCTTCACAGTAAAGATTCAGGACCCCACATGCTCTTTGCCTGTTCAGTGACCAGCCCTCCCTTGCCAAGCATCCGTTGTAATCAAGAGAAACATCCAGGGCCCTATCCCTGAGGAATGGAGGAGACAACAAGACCTTGGGGTTCCCAGGCATCACTGCCGGCAAAGCACAACCAACATCATTGCCTAAGTCCTCACCGTTGTCAGGACCGCAAGGTTCTTGAAAAGAAGCTGTTTTCCTGAAGAAGCTATTCATTTTCTGTTTCAGTGGAACATTCTGAAATCAAGGTGAGAGGTGTGCTTTGTAAACAGACTAAGCTGGCTGGAGCATTTGCTTATGGTGGTTTGTAAACGCAGCCTGTGAAGATCAACACCTTGGGCCAACCTGAAGGCCCAAGAGTGCATGGGACACAGAACCTTTGCTTCTGCCATGTTCCTGGGGGCAGAAAACATTCTTCCTGAGAAGTCCAAGCTTGGTCTGAAATGTGCGTTGGGCCTCCTGGACACAGCCCAGGAAAGGAGCCTTCCCCAGGCACCTTCAGGCAGCAGTGGGGCGGGGCGGGCAGTGTGAGCCAGGTGCAGCCGGCCTGTGGATTCTAAGAGGTAGGGAATTTACCCTAAACACCGGATGCCAAGCAAAGGCCAGCAAACTGGCAGCACACAGTGCTTTCTCTGGATGTTGAGGCCAAAACCCAGCATGGCTCCCCACAGACTGCCCCACCTACCAGGAGCCACACAAAGTTTTGTTATGAGCAGAAAGTAGGTCCGGGGTGTAAGGACACCTTGGAGGGACTGGCATCTAGCCTGGCACTTCCAAGAAATGGCATGGCAGGTGGCTCCTATCTGCACTGCAAGAGCTGCTGTACACCACAGGGCCACATCTGAAGTGACCCCAGTGACCAGCATGCTCCAGCCCATAGACCGCAAGACAGGCAGGGACTTGAGGCCACAGCAGACGCATTCTCCTGGCCCTCGATCCCAGCTGCCCCAATCACTGGCCACTCAGTGGGATCTGGGGATGAGGGCAGTTAGGGTCAGGGATGACCGTCAACTGCCTTCCTCCACCAAGGAGTAAGAAGCAGGCAGCAGAAGCGAGGCGGAGGGTCCTGAGTTACTCGTTTGCAGAGGCCGAGGGTCTTTGGGCCCCGTCCTGCTAGTCATAGTTCCCTGCAGGCGTTAGGAAGCATCGGCTGAGCTGTAGGGGAAGAACTTGGTGACCTTGCTGGGCGTGGTCGGGTTGGGGCACTCCACTTCTTCACTCAGTTTGAAGAACATTTCCTGCTCCCGCTTTTTCTGGTTCAAATCCTCTTCCAGAGCCTGTGTTTGAGAGAGGACAGAAGGCACTAGAAGCATCCCACCAGCCACAAAGCTCCGCCAGTGATGCTTTGCGAGCGTCCCCCCAGACTCAAGTGAGTAGGGACACGGGCTCCTTCACCCCTCCTCCCCTCCTGCCACCACCAGGAGCGAAGGCAGGGACGCAGACTGCATGAGTATTCACCATCATGAGCTCACAGGAAGGAAACCTTTGTTAAAAACGGCCGGTTTCAGTGCTTCACACCTGTGATCCAAACTGCTCAGAAGGTGGAGGTGGAAAGAGGATTGCAGTCTGAGGCCAGCTCAGAAAGCCACTGCGGCTCGCTCCTTCCCACAAGCCTGGGGTCCCATCTGCATGAGAGGCACAGGGAGGAGGAGGATCACAGTCTGATAAAATAAGACAGAATGGGCTGGAGCCAGAGCAAACACAAGGTCCTGTGCTCACCACACACCCACACGAAGCCAAGCTGGGGTGTAGCTAGTAATAGAACATAGGGGCAGGGAGGGCACATGGGACAAGAGAGCAAACGGAGCACTCAATGCTTTTCGCTCCAGTGACACAAAAGAGATTCTGAGGATGGGAACCTAGGAAGTAACAGAGAAACAATAGGGATGGTAGAAATAGCAGCAAAGGCATTTGGAACTGGCATCTGGCTTCCTGGCTGGGGAACCACCCAGAAACCGCCAAAGTCAGCCTCAGGAAAATACCATCTGAGGACCTTCCCACCAGCCTGCAGAGGTGAGGACTGGTCTGGGGTAGGGACCCTGTGTCCCCAAGTCCAGGAACAAGAGGTAGAAGCAGTTTGGCAGTGCATGGGACACTTGGGCATAACCTCTGGACTTAAACTAGTTATAAGAAGCTTGGGAAAGAAGAGCAGGCAAAACAGCCATCAGGGGCCAACAAAAGTTTAAGCTTTGGGAAGGAGACTACAGTCAGAAATCCAGAGGCTGGAAGTCTGCGGGGAGGAGGCTTGGGAACACCCCCTGAGCCAGAGAGCGGATGCCCAGAGCCACAGCTGTGAAGCCACCTGCAGCAAGTACTGAGGGACCCCAGAGATCCTGCACACCAAGGGACATGCTCACAGCACTGCCCACGACAGAATGGAGGCAGCACTACCCCTGCCTGCTAAGCAGGCTTGGGACCCTACTGAGTCACACTGCAGAGGCACTGGCCATTAGCTGGACTTAAGCCTTGTTCCCACATAAGGACATCCAAGGGAAGCAAAGCCCTCACACTTAAAACAGACTTCTGCTACCTCAGAAAAGGCTGTACATAAGCGACACATACAGACACCAGGACAGCTAAAGCTCATTGTTGCTCTGTGCAAGTCTGTATTTGTTGTTGCTCTGTGTAAGTCTGTATTTGTTCCTGCATTGGTTCAACTGTTTTGAGGGCTGCTTCTTAGAAGACACCAAGGGCATGCACAAGAAGATCCAATCTATATATAATGGGGATAGAGTTTAAAAAAAGATAAAAACTAAAGGTATTGAAAACCCATTTGACAAAATCATGATAGAAAACTCACCTAGTCCCCAAGAGAGTATCGTCCAGGGGATGATGGCTTACAGAACTTCAAGCAGACAAAAGTGGAGAAGAAACCCCAGTAAAATCACTAAATGCACAGAATAAACACTAAGCTGCAAAGGAGGGGCACGTGACCACAATAGCAAGCCCATTAGAATAATAGCAGATTCTTGGCAAAAACACTAACTGCAGGAAGGGCAGGGAAAGAATTCGAGTCTTGAGAGACAACAGTGGCCAGCCTAGCCTCTTATCCAGAGAGCCTATCCTTCAGACTTCAAGGGGTTAAAAAAAACCTTGCATAGTAAATAAAAGAAAGGAATGGGGGGGGGGGGGGGGGGGGGGGAGGAGGCTACAATGCTTGATAAGAAATACTCATTATCTTGCCCTTGTAATTGTAACCCCTCTGTACAGTATTTTCACAATAAAAAAAGGAATTCATGTCTACTAAACCAGCACTGCAAAAGATAGATACATAAGGGAATCCTATCAGAAGATTTAAAAACAACAACAAAAACTAAATAACCCTACTAGAAGAGTACCCTAGCAAAGCAAGCATCACAACAAGATGACAGACAATACCACATCTCAGTTCTAAAGTTAATGTCAGCAGGCTCAACTCTCCAACTGAAACAAGTGGAGGATCAAAGGGTGTGGCGTGTGTGGGATGAGTGAACTTGGGCCGTCAGAGGGGCCCGGAACATGGATATGCCAGCAAGAGAAAACACAAGTGCAGGGAGACAAACCCAGGAGGACAAAGCAAGTCTTCCCCATGAGGTTTGGCTACTAGGATTTTTACTGATCTTGCTAGATGCTGCTACAGAGGCTGAGGAATAAATGTGAGATAAATTTAGGTAGGGAATATGGGGTTGCTCAAGCTGGGAGCAGAGAAGGGAGAGGCACGGTGAAGCAGGAGTGATCATCTGCCACCCAGATGATCACCCAAGGCTGAGCAGGAAAGTCTTGAGCTCAAGATCATGCCCTGACTATACAGGAGACCTCCTCAAAAAATAAGATGAGGGCACTGGGAAGGTGGCTCAGTGGCAGAGTACTTGCCTAGTATGCATGAAGCCCTGGGTTCGATTCCTCAGTACCACATACACATAAAAAGCCAGAAGTGGTGCTGTGGCTCAAGTGGTAAGAGTGCTAGCCTTGAGCAAAAAGAAGCTCAGAAACAGTGCCCAGGCCCTGAGTTCAAGCCCAGGACTGGCAAAAAAAATAAGATGGGGGGGGGGGTTTGCTGGGTTCAGTCTACAGGACAGTAGGAGGGCACTGGAGCCAAGGTGGAGTGAGCAGAATTCTAAGGAGGAGCCAGAGACTCGCTCTCATGTCATTCTGCTCGTTTGAGTGTGGGTGGCACCTGTGGACAGCACAACGCCACTCACTGCAAGGACAGAAGGTGTCCCGTGAGCCAGGCCTCATCACACAGGGCTTTTTCTATGGGGCGCGAGCTCGGTGCACACACTAGGCCACACCTAAGTGTCCCCAGCTGGCAGAAGGCCTGAAGGTATGCTTCCTGTTTGGAAGTGCCTATAGAGCAGAGAGCAGCCAGTGCCTGACAGGCCGTGAGGAAATGGGAACCTTTAGCTTCATGAAGCTGGACTCTCGGGCCTGAAGTAGCTCAGCGGTGGTCCCTGCCCACCCCCACCCAGCCCTTGGTCACCCACTATGGTACCTTTTTGCGCGGCCGAAGCTTCTCCCTCCACTCTTTGAGGTTCTGGTCGTGGCTCTCATCCAGGGCCTTCAGCTTCTGGGCCTCATGCTCTACCAAAAGGTGACACTTTTCATTCTGTGACAAATCCGAGGCAGAGCAAGTGTGTGAGAGCACGGAGACTTTGCTGTCACAGCCCGGGGTGCTAGCATCCTGCATGTACCATGTTATCTTTTCTTCTCAATACCCTTGGCATACAACTATATATATATATGCATATAAGTCCACTGTATACACATGTGCCAAAGCAGTTCCCGGAGAACTATTACAGACTGCTAACAATGACAGTTCTTGCTAAACTTCAGGGCATGTGCTTTATTCATATTTTCAGAAATGAAGATATGTTGTTTTAATTAAACAAGCAAAACTAATAGCCATAAGTAAACTGTCACCTAACCTCCTAGGCAGAAGCAACTACTAGGAACACCAAACAAAATTCCTGTAGGGCTCTGACCCCTTTGTTGCTGGCTTTTTTTTTTTCTTGAGACAAGATCTCACACAGGCTGGTCTTGAACTCATGATCCTCTTGTCTCCCAAGTGCTGGGATTATGGCCATGTACCACTTTATCTGGTTATAGACTGGTTAGCTTAGCCTGCCTATATTATTCTAAAACCTCTCCCTCTCTATGCTTGACGTTATATTACAAATATTATTTCTACAATTTGTGCTCATATTTAATACCCGCAGAATCAGAATATCACGTGGTATATATTTAAATACTTATTTAAATCTCCCTTACTTTCGGTCACTTGGGTTGCTTCTAATATTCATTGTAATAGCCACTGTTTAAGCGTCTGTTCTACAGACTAAATTATGTTCTCTCTAAATTCAAGTTGAGCCCCTGTCCCCAAAGGGAGGGTTAGAGACAGGCCTTCAGAAGGTAGAAAGGGTTAGATGGTGGTGGCCTTACAAAAAGGCAGACCAGAAAGCAGCTGGCTTTCAGTCTCCTCCTTCCTCTCCTACCTCTCCTGGAGGGACCTTTTAAGGACACAGGAAATAGATGGGCATCTGCAGGCCAACAAAAGGCCTTCACCAGAAGCTCACCCTGCTGAAACAATGACCTTCAGTTCCCAGGTGTCACAGCTGTGAGAAAATAAAACTACGGTGGCCACCGTCTGTGTTGTGTTGTTTTTTAAGGGACAGGTATCTTGCTCTGTTGCCCAGGTTGGAGTCTAGAAGCCGGTCCCAGAACTGACCCACAGCAGACCCTGCTGACAGTGAGCCGCATCCTTATCTCACTGGCCTACTGGACCCTCCATCCTCAGGTGCCGTGACCCCAGGAGGTGGGGGGTTGAGCCCCTGAGTTTCAAGCTGGAGGTTTCTGGGACTTGGCAGGTGACTTGGTGGGGAACAAGGCCAGCAGCACGGAGCTTGCACTCCGGGCTTTTTGTTAAGCCTTTCAGCAGTGAGGGGCGACAGCTGCGTGACTGACGCAGATCCTCACGGCAGCAAAAGAGGAGGGCCTGCCTTCAGTGCTATTCCGTTTCCTCCAGCCTCTGCGCCCCTCTGGACACCCTCAAAAGGGCAGCAAAAGAGGAGGCCTCCCTTCAGTGCTATTCCGTTTCCTCCAGCCTCTGTGCCCCTCTGGACAACCTCAAAAGGGCTCGGTGGCCTGTGCACTTTCCTGAGGGGCCCCAGTCCCCGGGTGTAAATGCCTCACTCTGCCACGAGGGGGCCCCAAGGCCTATCTTCCTGGGGCCATCTGGGCACGAAGAGCTCTGGGTGCTGGCCTGATTCTGGCGAGAAACCCCTTCCTGTCTGCAGGCAACCCACAGGCATGGGACAGACCCAGGGGCCGGGGGCTCCAAGGGCTTCAACAGGCAGCGTGTCCTGGAGAGACACGGCGGTGGAAACGCAGCAGCCCACTGTGGCAGACCCTGGGCAAGGCGTCCTCTTCACAAATCCTGCGAGCAGGACTCCTCACCACCCCATGACCAGCTCAGAGCCATGGAAGTGAGACCTGGAGGCAGAATGATTCTCCAGCAGCTGCAGGGCAGGTTGGCCCTGGGCACTGCCGGCCCTGGGGCCTGGGGGAGGACGGTACCTGCAGCTGCTGCAGCTCGCTCATGTTGCTCTCACACTGCGCCATCATATCCCGCATCTGGTTCTCATGTTTCTGCTGCTGCTGTAGCCGCTCAGCCTTTTGCCGCTTCTCCTCCTGCTGAGAGAACTGGAGAAATGCGGAGGCTGTGACTCCGGCTCTGCCGGCCGGGCCTTGACCATCTCCACCCCCGTCTGCAGGCCCCATCCCAGGCACCTGGCCTGCACAGCGTCGGTGGCCAGCTCCCCATCGAGCTGTGCCCCACTGGTTTAACCCTCATCCTGAGTGAAGACCCAGGCTCTGCCACCAGAGTCATGACGTGACATCCTCATGGGACGCACTACGATTGTGTGCAGGAATCTTGGGGGCCCAAGTCACAGCAAAGGGTGTGGGTAGGACCAGCACTACCTCATCTACTCCATACCGGCGACACTGGGAGGGTGCAGCCCGTCACCAGGGGTCTGCCCCACACCCAGGAGCCCGTGGCCAGGCCCGGCCCACCTGCTTGATCTTCTCACGCTGCTCGGCAGCGCTTCCGGCGCCGTTGATGTGCAGGCTCTTCTTGTACATGGCCATGCGCGTCTTGCCCTCGCTCCTCTGGACCTTGGGCAGCCGGGCCTTCTCTTGCTGCTGCCGCACCTTCAACTGCTCCATCATGCGCTGGTTGTAGCGCTGCATCTGCTCCCGCTCCTAGGGGGCACCCAGTCGGGCCAGGTGAGGCCCCCAGCATGGACTCGGGGCCCAGGACAGGCTTCGTTCACCTCTGCTGCTCAGTGTTTCCTGTTTTCCCTGACTCTTCCTTTCTATTTTGACTTTATGAGGGCGTGTAAAAGACATTTCACAGAAACAATGCCGTGACATTTGATCTTTTCCTGGGCTCACAGTGGCACAATAGCTGGATGCTGGGCACTCACAAAGGCAGAGCACCTCACGTGCACAGCCTGGAGTCCGCGGTGGAGTCAAACGCACTTGCACCTTAGGAGGGGGCTGTGGGGTGTAACTGCACAGTAAGACCAGTGCCTGTATTATTATTAGGAATATTCTGAGTCTTACCCCAAAGGCCATCTCATTTCCCTGTGATGCTACTATTATTAGTTAATAACTCAAAGCGAATTGTACGCCAGAGGGGACTGTTCCTCATTACTGATGGCAGATGTAAACTCATATGTGAATTTCCATCACGCCTGTTGGTGGGCATGCCTGCTGCAGGACCCCTCCACGATTGCTGGCTCCTCTCTTCTGAGCTCCCGTGCCCCGGCTGGCATCTGCCCTGGGATGCGTCATTACCCAGTGTGTCTCCCTCCCTTCTCACTGTGGGGCCCGAAGAGCAACTAACAGCACAGACAGAGAAGGCGATCCGGCCCACAGGCTGGTCCTCGCCACCCGGGAGCACAGGAAGGCTGCCCAGCAGATGCGGGGCAGGGAGTCTTTCGGGAGATGCGAAGGAAGAGGCACAGAAAGATGGAGGCCAGGAGGACAAAGGGGAAGGGAAGCACAGGGGGACTGGACCAGCCCAGCTCCCCATCTACCCCCATGCTGGCTTGCTCCAATTTCTAGGCCCCATGGCTTCAGCAGAACTTTCCCAGAGAACATCCTGGGGCATCTCTGTGGCCACAGCGGCTCCTGGCTCTCCACAATGCCCCTGCCGCCCGGGGGTGGGGGGGGAACCCTCCCCTCCCCCATCACACAGTGAGCCCCCCCCC